CTATTATAATTAGAATAATGTTAAAACATTTTCGGAAAGTATCTCTTCAATTTCTAGCTTTGAAATCTAATCGAATTATGATAAGAAAATTAAGCTGGACATTTTCTGACAGAGGAAAGAACTGGGCCACACAAAAAGAGAAACGAGACAAATGGATTGATTGATACTTTAATTTACTTGGAAAACTGTTATTCTCTTTGTTAAATTATCTTTGCTAAATCTCTTTAGTCCGTGCGACATTAAACATTAAGCTTTATTACAACGATTAAATTCATTGTCTGTGCAGCAATCGTTCCAATAAAATCGTCAGAGATTTTTTTTTTAATTTTTGAATGATATCTAATCAATAGTCTTTGCAGTGTTAGCACGATTGATTTAAATATTTTTCGACTTTATCCTGCTGAGGAGACTTTTTTTTACCTTTCTTTTTTTTTTTAGGTATACCCCCTACCCAACCCAATTAGATTTAGGACAAACGGAAAACAAATGTTATTAAAATCCTCATCTCTGTCTGTCAAAATTAAAACAAGGAAAAAAAATTGTTACGAGATAAAATCTGGTACCATGACGTTTGCACTAGATTAATGTGTTCCAAAAGTCTTTGTTTCGTTGGGTTTTTTTTTTCTTCTTTCACCCATCGCAAAAAGTTGGCTTTTTCGTTTTAATTCAGCATTGCAAGCTTTTATTCATTGCGATCGAAGAGAGAATCGATACTAGCAGGCTCACTGCTCCCAATTCTGGCCTCTTTATTGTGCTACAGTGAACCGTAAGCAGTGAAAAGCATGTAAACATCTAATACACAAAAGTCATCAGTAGATTTTCGCCAAAACAGCATTGGATATATGGCAGAGATGACAATCTCACGTAGAAAATATATCAGCTTAGAGGGGCACCTCGAGGTGATGTGATGGTTAGCAAGCTTGTCTCGCTAGAACTATTCTCGATTCTCATTGGGTGCCCCCTAATTTCGGCCTTGTGCCACATCTAAGCTATGCTTGGAAAATCACTATATCAGCTTAGAGTCAAAATGAAAACGGAGAAGCAAATACAACGATGTTGTTCCGCCAACCTTCTAAAGAGTAATGACCTGTTCATATTAACAAATATTCGAATCCTGGCTGTAAGTTGAACACTGAGCCGTTTCAAAACATGCAATAAATTAATGTGTTTGTTTTTTTTTAACAAAGTGAAGTAAATCTCTCTTCATATTCTGATTACTCGTTCTTTCCTGTCGATGTACGTTACGCTTTCATTGAAATTACTAAATAATTAGTCTAACAAGCATTACAAGGGATACAATAATATTCAGAAGAAAAAAAGAAGAAACAAAGCATGTCCAAAAATATGTCGCATCTAACCATCTAGATGATATTTTTTTTTTTTTTTTACTTGACCAACACAGGCGTAGTTACATGGCGGGAAAGGACTGGTGTTGAAAACCTGAAGTTTTTAATGAAATCAGGAAAACATCACTGACGGCTTATTAATAGGAGTAGGTAAGTTTGTCCATTGCCCGGTTCACGCTCCTCACCTGGATTATGAATCTGTTTCACACCCAGTATCTTCTTATGCATGGAAAGAATTCATTAAAACAAAATCTCAATGGTTCTTTATGGATTTAATTATTTTTTTAAGCATTTCACTCCAAGCAAGTCAAAGAGCCACTAGCACGCAAGGCGTTACAGAGAGTTGGAGCGAGAGCAAATAGGAGTGATAAAAGAAAGGATGGAGAGAAGGTTAGGGTAATCTGGAGACGTCGATTGACATTACATTTGAATAGTTGGAGATTATAGCTATCAGGGAAACAGGAAAAGGGGAGGGAGTTCCACAGGCGAGAAGTGCATGACAGGAAGTTATTGGAGTAGAAGAGACGGCTACATTTAAAAGTTTTGACAGTGATTGTTTTTAATAATTAAGTGCATTCACAAGGAAGATCTTGTTGAAAAACATTTGTTATGTAGAAAAATCATTTTTACAGCATAAGACTGCATAGTTATTGTCATATATATATATATATATATATATATATATATATATATATATATATATATATATATATATATTAGGTTGGTGCAAAAATAATGACGTAATAATGTCGTTTTTAACCTATTTTTTACAGTCAAAAAACGACATTATTACGTCATTATTTTCGCACCAACCTAATATAACATTAACATTTCGAACATAGAATTAGTTGTTCATAATTGCTAATGTTCTTCTTTCGTTGACTTATTCGATTTATTCGAGCTGCAGTTTCTAATAATCGATTGTTGTAGAAGCTTTTATGGATTCAACGCTTCGAGCAGGTAATCTCTGATCATCTTCAGATGCCCAATTTCTTTTATATTGGTTATCATGTATGTGTTAATCATTGTGCAATTTTGTCCTTGGGATATTGTCCCTTTTTCATTCCTGCTAGACCCCAAGATAGATTTAATTATTTAATCCTGGTTTGATCGCGCAGCCACTAGGTGACACTAAGACTTGGTCATCCTCCGCCTACATCCATCATGTCTAGAACGAACAAGAAACTGCATTACAGGATCAACAACAAAAACAATAATAATAATAATAACAATAATAATAATAATAGTAATATTTGCGACTCACAGCTCAGTACGTAGTAACTGAATTATATAAAAGATCCTCCATTTTTATTTTTTTTATTTTTTTATTTTTTTGAAGACAAGATTTTGCAAGAAAGCCACAGCCATATTAGAAATATTTCTATTGCACATAATTCGACCAAGTACTTTAAAAATAAATATATATATATATATATATATATGAAGAAATATAGTCTTAAGATGTGATATATTTATGGGATAAAGTGCTCAATATCAGAAATAGAGGCAGGTGTAAATTTAAAAGTGAACATAGAAGTCAACACTTAGAGACGACAGTCTGTTTCATGCTAGAAGCAGGCGGCCTGACGATTGCATCTAGCATGAAACAGACTGTCGCCTCTAACTGTTGACTTCTATGTTCACTTTTGATATACATACATACATAAATATATATATATATATATATATATATATATATATATATATATATATATATATATATATATATTGTTCTAAGCACAAAATATTTGAAAGAATCAAACTATTTTGCTTCCTAGGCCAAAGACACTGTACTTCGGCGTGCGGTGACGTATCCAACTTAAGTAAGCAGGCACCAGACTGACTAATATCCAATGAAAACCAAAATACAAATTAGGCGATTACTGACAGTAACTGCATGAAGCACTCTGATTGGTCACGTGCAATCACCTTTTTAAAATCAAATTGTTATAAGTAACATATTATCTAAACTGGGCATATCAATTTAATTTATGCACATATGGCTTGTACAAGTGATTTATATACACACACGTACAAACACACATATATATGTATGAAAAAATATATAAAAAAATTAATAGATCCAAATGTTTATTAATTCGAACGTTATAAGAAAGGAAGACGCAAATTCTTTTCATTAAGGCTTCTCGAATGCATGGGCTGATAGATTGCTTAAAATAAAAATGGGGTGTTTATTTCAAATACGTGGTCCAACATAATATTGTTTGAAGTAATAATATATGTATATTTATATGTATTTATGTATGTACAGACACACACACACACACACACACACACACACACATATATATATATATATATATATATATATATATTCCCAGATCGATTCTGTGGACAAGAGGAATTAGTATGACAATTGGAAAAAATATCTTAGTTTTTTGCCGACGCGTTTCATCTTCAGACCTTTTCAACCAGCAAGAGGCTTACGCCTCTGTTTTTTAAATTTGCTCAATTCAATACTGAAGAGCGGATATACTTTAGAAAATCATGACGTCTGTTGAATCCGCTACCCTGATTTCAAACTTACGGTATCCACAGGAGAATTTTATCAAATGACCTTTTAACGTTTTTTTTTGTTTTTTTTTTTAAATAATGAACGCTATATTATTTTTTTGAATAAATAAACAAACAAACGAAGCTGGGTGTAATAGAAAGAGAGAAAGTTTTGTTAGACATTAAGGTATGGAGACAAAGAATCTGTATATATATATATATATATATATATATATATATATATATATATATATATATATATATATTTAATTTACAATATTCCTGTTCATACAGTACTCAGCGAAATATATATATATATATATATATATATATATATATATATATATAAAAAAAGACCATTTTAAGGTTCCATTATAACAATTTATTTCACCAGAGCCCTTTTAAAAGATGTTGGATCATCAGATAACACTTCCAAAAGTGAAAGGAAAGATGAAATGAAAATTCACACTTTTGACGGGTAGTATTAAGTTTATGTAATTTAACAGAGAGGGTAGCGAGGGGTGGTATATATATATATAAATTTAAAAGAAAAACAGACCATTTTAAGGTACCATTATAATAATATAAAGGACGCCGTATCATCAGATAGCACTTCCAAAAATGAAATGAAATGAAACGAAAAATGAAATTAAAATTGATGGGTAGTATAAGTTTTTGTAATTTAACAGAGAGTGTAAGAGGGATAGTTAAATAGACATGGTAGAGTATAGGGAGGGATTAATTTCATATCTCTCTCAAGTATACTTTATATTGTGGCAGGAGGAGTGACCAGACCTTGACATATTTAGATGGTTAACTTAACGGAAATGATATATAGAAATGGGAGGCAGTAGGGAGAAATGAAAAAGGAAAAAGGAGGAGAGAGGGGAGTAAAGAGAAAGAAGCTGTAATTGGGTTTTAGCAATTTATGTAAAGAATAGATTTTAATGCTTGATAGAAATTTAGATGTCTAAAAAATTTGATGTTTGCTATCAATTCAAATATTTAATTTTTTTTAAACAAACAGTTTAGGGACTTAATATAAGTTAAATACTATATTTATTAACACATTTATAGAGAACATATTAAAAAATATTTTAAATTATAATAGTTTGTTTACCCGACCAAATTATATATATA